CTTATAAGGGAAAGGCAAAACACTTAACTTGGCTACCCTAGGTGGGTTTAAAGTTTGGGGCTCCCAGGGCAGTGAGCCCATTACACTATTCTTTGGATATGTTCAAACCTGTTTTGCCACCTGGAAACCTGGAATCTCTGGGCACTTTCCTTTACCTCAGCCCGGAAATTACGCTTTCCCTTCCTTCCTTCCTCCCTCCTTCCCTCCCCTCCTCTCCCCTCCCCTCCCCTTCCCTCCCTCACATCCTCCCTCCCTCCCTCCCTCCCCTTTTTTTTTTCTTGAGACAGGGTCTCACTCTGTTGCCCAGGCTGGAGTCCAGTGAGAGCTCACTGCAACCTCCACATCCCGGGTTCAAACAATTCTTCTGCCTCAGCCTCTCGATTAGCTGGGATTACAGGCACCCGCCACCATGCCCAGCTAATTTTTGTATTCTTAGTAGAGACAAGGTTTCACCATATTGGCCAGGCTGGTCTCGAACTCCTGACCTTGTGATCCGCCTGCTTCAGCCTCCCAAAGTGCTGGGATTACAGGTGTGAGCCACCGTGTATGGCCGAAGTTATTCTAAGTCTTTTTTAAAAATTGATTAAAATATTCAAGTTTTTGCAGGGAGATAATACAGAAGCAGAGAACTCTCCAGGTAGATGGATCTGTGTGCCCATGTGGTTGGTTATTCATTCTTCACTTCTCCTTAGTTCTGGCCTACTCTGATGTTACCTTGTCTCCCTTAGTTTGTGAAGCTTGGAGGAAGTTCAAACATAATATCTGTACGGTAATGCAATAGAGAAAGAAGCAGCCGCCTTAAAAGGACTCCCTCAGTAGATTTCTTGTCAAAAGTCTTGTGGCTACATTCTGTTTCCTTGAGTATCTTCTAGTTTCATTTTCCTTTTCAGGTTGATACATTGTTATCTTAATTCTATTGCATTTCCACCTTTGAATGGAGCAGAAGTCAGAAACTTTTGCTAGTTTGCTGTTTCCAGAAACTAGGAATATATTACTTGTAATAATTAACACTTTATTATTTTTTAAAAAATAATATATTTCTAGTTTCTGGAAAGAGCAAACTAGCAAAGGATTTGTTTATTGAATGATTAATTAGATTAAAAAGTTATTAAGAAACAGAACTTGCACTGAGACTCATCTTTCAGCTGAGTTAAGTTATATTATCCATTGCGGTCTTTCCCATTCCTCTGTCTCTGGCTAGCTCAACAATATTTATTAATCTGTAGCTCTGTGTTTTTCTAATCACAACCCTGATCTTTCCACTATGTGGCTTTGGGAATAACCCACCTGAATTCTAGTTAGCTGGTTCCAATTTTATGTCCTTGCTCTGTTCTTTACGTCATGGACTAATTGGTATTTACTAGCTGCGTTTTACGATCTCTCCAATCTGGACAAAACCCACTGTTAAGAAACAGACAGGATACAAGCAAGAAAGAGAATGATAATGAGGCTGTGACAGAGAATCTCTTGATTGACAGAGTAAATATACTGATCACGATGTAGCTGCATTATAGCTAATATTAACTATTTTGATAAACTTTAGCTTGAGGAGATAGATGAGGTTCTGTGTGCATTCATTAATGTAAGAAAACATTATCACTGGGCGCAGTGGCTCATGCCTGTAATCCCAGCACTTTGGGAGGCTAAGAAGGGTGATCCCTTAGGCCCACAAATTTGAGACCAGCCTGGACAACATGGCGAAAACACGTCTCCACAAAAAATTAGCTGGGTGTGGTGGCACATGCCTGTAGTCCCCGCTAGTTGGGAGGCTGAGGTGGGAGGATCACTTGAATCTGGGAGGTGTAGGTTGCAGTGAGCTGAGACTGAGCCAATCCACTCCAGCCACTGTGACAGAGCAAGACCCTGTCTCAAACACAACAAAACAAGCAAACAAAAAACCAAGAAAACAAACCAAAACAACATTACCCTTGTCTAACTTCAAGGTTTTGAAATGAAATTTTCTAAACATAATACAAAATTAAATTTTTATTCACAATTTAGATAAAAGATAGCCATAGTTTAGTGAAGTAAACTGTTTCAGGGAAAAGAAAAGGCTTGTTCCAGTTACTTAATTATTCATATATTATTGGTTTATCTTTAGACAAAATTAAACGGACAGGTATACCAGTTTCCTGAGGGACAAGAAGAAGGTGTCCGAACACCATATACCTAAGAGTTTGAGAGAAAATTCAAGGAGTCTACATCAGCCACTTAAAGGAAAAGCATGGATTGATGTGTGAGTACAGCATAAAGCAGAGAAATGTGAAAAAAAGAATTCAGGGAGAGCTGTGCTTGGAGTGTAGATAGACAGGTGGCATTAAGGGAGTTGACCAAGGTAGTGAGACCCCAGACATTGGCTTGCCATTCTTATAATAGGCTACAGTATCTGGCAGGGGATTAGAGTAATTCATAAGATCTAAGGCAGAAGCAGGCAAACGGTTCCTGGAACAAGGGAGGCTTCACTTAATGTTTACTGAATTGAATAAAATCAGAGAGAAGATAAGATGATAGACTAGAGCCTGGAAATGTTGAAGAGCAGTAGTTGGTCATGAGGACCTATAAATTCATCTTAATTGTTTCTTCTTACTATTATGGACAGGGATGGAGGGTTGCAGCTATAAGGAATATTTTTGTGGTGCTTGGTATATCTGAGACAACAGATAATGTTACAATCCTGTATCCACTAGAATGGCTTAGCAAAACACACTGTGCAATTGACAGAATGTTTATGTCCCCCCTCCCATTTATATGTTGAAATCTTAATCCCCAGGCGATGATATTAGGAAGTGAGTCCTTGGGAAGGGGATTAGGTCATGAGAGTACAGCCCTTATGAATGGGAATACTGCCATTATAAAAGACATCCCAGAAGATTACTCACCCCTTCCTTCACGAGAGGTTCCACTGGAAACAGATGTCTGTGAGGAGTAGGCCCTGTGCAGATACTGAATCTGCTGGTGCCTTGAACTTGAGCTTCTCAGTCTCCAGAACTGTGAGATGTGAGAAACAAATTTCTGTTGTTTACAAACCACTCAGTCTTTGGTATTTTGTTATAGCAGCCCAAACAGACAAAGACTGAATATTCTCTGTTTCTCATTTGAAAGATCTGAAAATAGGACTGTCTGGCAGTATTATGATGAGTAGTAATGCCAGAGATCTGGGTCTCACACTCTCTCCTATGCCTGCGAGTGGTTGGAACTGACGGTGATGATGGATGGGGCAATCAGGCTTAGACTGAATTCCATGTGAGTCTTGGTCACAGGAAGTTAGAGTTACCATATTAGCAAACAAAAATACATGAGGCAGTTAACTTTGAATTATTTCTACTTTCCTTGCATAAGTGTGCTGTGATAAAATAAAAATATTGCATGGATAATGCTTACACAATGTATTTGTTGTTTGTAATAAATTATAAGCATCTGATTGGGTGTGGCAGTGGCTCTTGCTTATAATCCCAGCACTTTGGGAGACTGAGGCAGGAGAATTCTAGAGCCCAGGAGTTTGAGATGAGCCTGAGAAACATGGTGAATCCACGTCTCTACAAAAAATACAAAAATTAACTGGGCATGGTGGTACATGTCTGCAGTCCCAGTTACTTGAAAGGAAGAGAAGTGGCAGGAGCACTTGAGCCTGGGAGGTCGAGGCTGCAGTGAGCTGTGGTTGTGCCACTGCACTCCGGCCTGGGCGACAGCGTGAGAACCTGTCTCAGAAAAAAATTAAATAAATAAATTACAAGCATCTATATTACGTACCTCGTTAATTATATTTCTCTAATGATTTGGCTTTCCTCGACATTTTTTTTTGTTTTGCAGAGTTTGCTTATAAATTGTTTTACAGTTACAGTCTACCCGCCATGTGCATTATAGTATAGCTTCGACAGTGTCACTTTCAACCCGTTGAATTCTTTTGTCCATTGAATATTGATTAGTGAGAAAACATGCCCAACATCTGCCTTTCAAACCAATATATTGATTATGTTCTTGCATAAAGTTAACAACTCAGAATCTTTTATTTCAAATTTGATTTGTGGAAGCATATAATACCATTTTTTCATGGCATAAATAGTTTACCCATTCTTCAGGATCATGTTACATCTCAGGCTCAGTAACTTTTTAAAAATATTGTCCACTGACAAAGAGCACTGTTGTCTAATTTTATTCCCTTCTTTTTAACATTATACATGGTGGTTCCACTTGTTTGCATGCTGAAATATTATTTTGTCATATTTATTAAAATAACTGAGTTCTTTAAGGGTTGATATCCATTTCAAAAGATAGTCATGATAAGTGTTATAAATAATTACTTCAAGTCAGAATTTCTTTTCCTGTTAAAAAGTAAAGTAAGGCTTGCTCACTCAAGGAAATTGTTTTATGGTCAGACTCATGTTGTGCCATGCTAGTGTGGACATAACTAAAGGGCAGGTTGAATGAGGTTGGGATATTGCATATATATTTGAGCAGAGGGTATGAATGAACAGAATTAAAATGACCGTGCATATGATTATGGCTGTTTAGAGGGGCCAATGAGACCAGAATGAAGCTTATGGATTCTGAGACTCCAGGATTAATGGTCAAAACAAATGTGACTAACAGTTCATTTATTAAGAACAAAGCATCATTTTGAATTAAGTGTCACAGGTTATGGCCACATCTCTCCATCGGATTTAGTGAATGCTAATTTCCATGTCTTGGCCATTTTACCTCTGTAGCATTCTTAAGCTTGCTCCTCCCAGAGAATGTAAAGCTATAATATGTAACTGTTTATGAGTTAAACTTTAATTAAATTGTACTAGCAACTTTGTTTTAATTGCTTCTGAGGGACTTCATCCCAAAAGTACTAGAAAGTTTTAAAATTCTGTCCAATCCACATTGTGATGTTTAAATTACTTTTGGGATTTGAAGCATCCTCAAAGCAGCAAACACTTTAAGTTGCTTTGATGCTTCATTGGCTGGTCTTTTAAAGAATCCTCTGCTAGTGAAAAGACTGCAAAGAGCCCCAGCTTTCATCGTTACTAGAACTAGTTTCTATTTTGCCAATGATTAGTTGGCTTTTACAATAGCAATGGCAGCTACTTGATTTTAATGAGAACTGAGAAGCAGTTCTTTTAGTTATCTTTGTGAAATTATTGAGATAGAACTTATGAGGCTAGCAGTTTGATTAAAAATGTAGGACTTCTGTTTTTGGCGTTTAAATATAGAAATACTGCATATTACATCAAATGGGGATACAAATAATTATAGCAAATTGCTGTGTTAAAGAACTTTTTGAGTGACCTACCTCTCATTACCATGGGTATTTCTGAATATGCAGTGAGAGGAAGGTCAGCAGAACAGCTGTTAGAACAGAGAAAGCTGACTTCTGTGCAGGAAGAAGACAATATGTATTTTCTCATACTTAGAGGTAAAAGAGGAAATCCCTTGCTACTGAAATTCTTTAATTTATGCATTTATTTATGGTTTGATTATAGACTAAGAAATGTACACTAGAGTTTTTCTGAGGTCAACTTTTTATTCATTGTGTATGTCAGGCAGAACAATAGGGTGACCTAGAAAGATCTCTTAATCTCTATTGAAAAACACAAACAAGAATAATTTTATCTCAATTTTTTCCTTTATTATTTTATAAGTAATACTTCTTCTCTAGTCAGTATTCTTAGAATATTTCACGTATTCATATTTCCCCTAAATTAGGAATAACCAAAAGTTCTTTTTCCTAAAAAAAAAAATATTTTCTATTTATTCCTTTAGCCCACAGGACTCTTCTGAAATTAAGATTAAATTACCATTGAAGCGGAACTTTCACATACAGCTTTGTTTTAGTAACTGAAGAACAGCAATTTTGTTAGGTATAACGTTGTGTGAAGAAAACTATTTGGTTACAGATAATAATATTGGTTAAAATGGTCAGATATCTGTTGGCTAGTAATATTTCATACATTTTCTATTTGTCCTGGATTATTTGGTCAAAATATGATGGTAACATTGTATTAAAATAATTTTAAATTCATAATGCAAAAGATACATAATTCTAGCTCAGTTACATGTGTTCTTAATCTATTCTCTAACAGGAATATTCTTTTTGAGAGCTGAGGACTCCTTCGTGAAGTCTGGAAGTCTAACTGATCTTAACTTAGAGGGCCATAACATATTCTTACGCTATTGTGTACCCATTTACAGGTCTTTATTACTCATAAGGGAAGCCATTCAAGAACGCAAATGATTCTTATAGACATTGGTATAAAAGATCCACATACATTCCAGCCACTACAGAATTTCTCTTAGTCAAAGAAAATATTAGCATGGGAAAGTCTAATCAGTCTTTTGTGACAGAATTTGTCCTGCTGGGGCTTTCTGGCTACCCAGAGCTGGAGGCCATTTACTTTGTGCTGGTCCTGTGTATGTATTTGGTGATCCTATTGGGAAATGGAGTCATCATCCTTGTGAGTGTTTATGACACCCACTTGCACACCCCCATGTACTTTTTCCTCAGTAACTTATTCTTGGACATCTGCTATACTAGTTCATCTATCCCACTATTTCTCAGCAGCTTCTTAACTTCAAAGAAAACTATTTCCTTCTCTGGATGCGGAGTGCAAATGTTTCTCTCTTTTGCTATGGGAGCAACAGAGTGTGTCCTTCTAAGTATGATGGCGTTTGACCGCTATGTGGCCATCTGTAGCCCTCTACGATACCCTATCATCATGAACAAATCTGCATATGTGTCCATGGCTGCTGGGTCCTGGATTGCAGGAGGCATCAATTCTGTGTTGCAAACGTCCCTTGCAATGCGGCTTCCTTTCTGTGGGGATAACGTCATTAATCATTTTACTTGTGAAATCTTGGCTGTCTTAAAATTGGCCTGTGCTAATATCTCCATAAATATTATTAGCATGGTTGTTGCTAACATGATTTTCCTTGCAGGGCCAGTACTTTTTATTTTTGTTTCATATGTTTTTATTCTCTCCACCATTCTGAGAATTCCTTCTGCAGAAGGAAGGCGCAAAGCCTTCTCCACCTGCTCTGCCCACCTAACGGTGGTCGTTATATTCTACGGAACCATCCTTTTCATGTATGCAAAGCCCAAGGCTAAAGACTCTTCTGGTGCAGACAAAGAACAAGTCACAGAAAAAATCATCTCCCTCTTCTATGGGGTGGTGACACCTATGCTTAATCCTCTCATCTATAGTTTGAGGAACAAAGATGTGAAGGCAGCAGTGAAGAGTATTCTGTGTCAAAAATGCTTCTCAGAAAGAATGTGAATGTTTCTTTATTTATTTTTAAAATCATTTTACTCTGAATGTAGGGCTAGTTCTCACTCGGAGTTTCCAAAATAAATATGAGGGTTGATGATTCCATGAATTCCTGAAATTCTCATTTTTCTTTTCCTAATGCTTAAAAGAAAGAGGGAAATCCAGGACTGAGTTATTTTTCTCTTCATGATAGAGTTAAGGAAAAGAGGGACAGAAACTTATGGATAAAAGTATTCTCATCCAAACCACCATCCTTGTTAAGGCTAATAGAGTTTAGTTTAATCCTTGAATGATAAATTTTATAATCTAAGAGGAAGTACCCTTTTGCTAACTTAATATTTTATCCCATATCTACACCATTCTTAGGAAGATCAAGTAGAAAGCATCTTGCTAAAAATCAGAATGCTATATGACTCCAACAGTAAATAATTCGGAATGAAGTAGATTTGATCACGTAGAAGTAAATGGGGAACACTGTAAGGTGTTAGATACCTACCCTGTATATATGTAATAGAGGGAGAATAAATGGAAAAATGAAGCTATTTCCTGGGGATGATTTCCTTTTGGCTACAAACTGGCAAGCCATCTTTTGTGCAGAGGTGTTTAAGGCAATGTGAGACTCTGTGCAGACAACCCAGATGATGGGAAATATGGCCTGCCTTGTGTTTCAGTAGATGAGCAATGATGTCTTTGAGTGAAATGATTCAAGAAACATTACTTTACTTCTAACTAACTGGATAGTACAGTTCTCTGAGAACACAGTGATAATGGATTTACTATTGTAAGAAGTTAGGTTTTTGCAATTACATGAATTTTCTATGGAATCTGAGCATTACATTCATTCACTCAGTCATTTATTACTCATTTACTTATTCAGTCCACCAGTATTTACTGAATCCCTATTTTTGTCTCAGGCATTGGGCTAAATATTGGCGATATAAAAAAATATAAAACAACCTGGAAGCGACAACGAAGACATGGTGAGGGAGCAGTCTTGTGGAATACAGATTGACACATACATTGAAGATGAAAATCTTAAAGAATACTTATTTATGGATTTTTCATCTCTCCTACCTTCTAAGCTGGACTCTGTTGGGTCTTTGTTGGGCTGAGCAGAATAATGGTTGGATTAATAGTAATTTAAATAAGCTGATTGTCATATGAAAGGGCTTGAACCATCTCTAGAAAAGAAAGAAGATAGTGAGAAAGACCTCAGTGCATACTGGAGATTTTGATGATAGAAGGACAGATATTTACATTGATACAGCAAAAATAGGATTAGAGGAAAAGAAAAAATTACCTACATGGAATTTTGGGAAAGGTTTGATGCTGGTTTTATGTGACCCTACCTCAGTGTGTCTTGATAATCTCAATAAAGATATACAACATTCTTTAAGATATTTGGTTATGGATTCAGTTTCTTTTGCAGTATCATCATGCTGAGACTGGCCATAGGATGAGGGTAACTTAAGTGGGTCACAGCCTTAGGTAGGTCACAATTACAATGCAGTAGGTTAAAGTTTTTGTAGGGGAATATGTATAAATCTCTCAAAGGGAAAGTCCCAGGAAGGGAGAAGCACTTCTACTTGGATAACCTAGGAAAAGCAATTCTCCTACTGATCTTGTAAGTAAGAATTTTCTAGACAGATGAAACAGTGCCAAGATGTGGAATACTACTGAGAATTTGGAATGGTTGGAACTTGGGTTGTATTGTCGGGGTAGTGACAGAGAAGATTGGAAAGGTAGTTTGGAGCCCAATTGTCAAGGCTTCAGATGCTAATATAAGTCAATACCTCTATAGGTCTGAGGTGATGACCCTCTGCTCTCTGGAGTTCCGGAGGCTGAATCAGGGCTACCACATACATGAGCAAATTCTGAGAAGTCAGATCTGTGATACTCCAAACTTCCTACCTGGACCTATTTTTGTCTGTTTTATATTCCTTCAGGTTCCACACAACATTTATTGGAAAATGAGTATTCTGCTGTGAGGAAAAGTTTTTGAACCACTGCAGTGAACAACAGAATCTACAAACAGTTATAAGAAAGAAACTGATGTTTTTGGATTGGTGCTTTAGAAAGCTCATTTTGGCACTGGGGATAATGGTTGTAAATCTCTTGCTGACAAATTCTCTGTCAGGCCTGTTTCACATTCCTTCTTTAGCCCCTAACACTTACTTTGTCTTCTTTCTTATAGGCTTCAAGGTACTGAGTACCTCTCCAATTTCTTGGAGTTTCCATTCTATTCTTGACTGTTTATAAATAGACTTGAATTTCTCAAATAACTTTCCTGAGCCTTTGGTTTAAAATTTTCACTTTAATTGAGGAAACAGAAGAAATAGCAAAGTAACATGAATGAGAACATTACACAGATTTAGGATCCACACATATTCCTGCCCTTATTAGAGAAAAAACATGATATCATAGACATTGTGAATCTGATATTGAAGCCATCCTAATAAAATTGACAAAACTAAATTGCTAGGTTTAACAAAAGCATAAGCTTTAAGTAGAAACATAGCAAAGCATTAACCAGACTGCCCTATGGCCCACTTCCGTACAGCTGATTATTTAAAAGTCAAGTAGCTACTATCATAAGGTCCTGACTTGTACAGATAACATCTTTCATGTTAAGAAATTTCAAGTTTTCCATCTTGAGATATTTTCCAGATCCTGCATTCCAGTGGGTCCACTGATGCCCGCCAGTGTGAAGACCCTCTCTGAGGAACTAACTCAGCCCCCAAATGCAGTTTTTACATCTTTCTTAAAGATTTCATTCCACACATACTAAGCAATTAGCTCCTCAGCCCTCTCCTAGCCAAAATTCCCTGAAAAATTCCAAGCCAAAATTCCTTGGAGAGGTGGATTTAAGGTTCCCTTCCACCTTCTCATTTGGCTACCATACAATCCTTCTATTATTTCTCTGCTGTAACTCCTACTGTTTTGGTGCATTGGTCTGCCACCTACATGACAGGCAAACCTGAGTGTTCTAGAACAATATTGTAGAGGCTCTGAATACCATTAAATTCCTTGAATAGTTTTGATGTTTTTGCTTTAGGAGCAATCAGGTTGGACTCAAACTACAAACTTGATCTTTTTGTTAACAATACATATCTTGGTTGAAGATCTCTATCTCTATCTGCATATCTGTATGTATGTTTTTACAATCAGCCCTCCATCCATATTGATGGATTTCAATAACTTGGATTCAACAAATTTGGATCAAAAATATTCAGAAAAAAGCCAATAAAAATAACAATATGAATTTAAAAATACAGCATAATGGGTATTTACATAGCATTTACATAGTAGTAGGTATTATAAGTAACGTAGAGATGATTCAAAGTATATGAGAAAATGAATGTAGGCTCTATGGAAATACTATGCTATTTTATATAAGGGACTTGAATATCTGTGGATTTGGGTATTCATGGAAGTCCTGGAATCCATTCCTTATAGATACCAAGGGATGCCTGCATATATGTGTATTGGTATTTAGCTGGATATTGCCTGTATGGTGCAGGGGTCAATCAGAGAACTGGGGCAAGTTTTTACACAGAATTTGATGTTTCCTCTGCTAGGACTCTGCTTTCTGGAATTTCTCCCTTACTTTATGGTGCCTGCTTTCCCAGAAATTTGCTGGTTTGTCCAGAAAAAGCCAGTTTATTACCAGAATTTCCAACCTATGCTGTGCCTAGTCAGCCTATAGCCCTAGAAATGTGAAACTCACACCAAAATGTGACTTCTTCTAAGAGATACTCTTAAAAAAATTTGCAGAGAGTTTGTAGTTGTCATTTCTGAGGTGCTTGAGTCTGATAGGAGCTTATTCAGCCAAAGTGAAGGCAACAGAACTCAGAAATCCTCCTTTTACTATTTTGTAACTACAGTATAACTCTCTCTTTCTCTGTGTTGGCTTCCATGTTGATCCTATCTATATTATTTTCTAATACACCTCAAAACCAAAGTAGACTGATATTTTGAATGGAGAATATGTTACAATGAATAAGAAATTTGAAATCCCCCTGTGGCCAGAGGTGAGCTTATCATAAGTGTTAAATAGCATGGAATAATTGAATAGATTTGAGTGTTTTATTAGCCCATTAAAGGTTAAATGAGGCATTATGTGAAAGCAGATGGTTCATGGGAGGGTCTCTTTAAATTTTATTTTCCTCCTTTTAAAAAAAATCTGGTCTCTTAGTCTCTTTCCACCCTAGTTTACCTGTAGTCCATTTCTCCCTTGAGCAAGCAAAATGAAAACTGACCTTCAGAGTTCATCTCCTTTAGCAGTCCTCTTTGATCACTTCCTGCAATGCTCCCTCCTCTCTGTCCCTTATTCAAACCACCCAGGAATTTGTGATTAACTACTTTATTTCCAGAACTCAGAGGACAAATGAGAAAGATAAGGAAGGAGATGAGAAGGCATATTTAAATAATGCATAATATTGCCATAAAATGTGTTAGGTAACTAGGTAATTTGCCTGTTATCTTTTAAGTTCTTGTTCATTAATTAATGCTAGTGGCAAGTGTAACATATGATTGTCTCTCATTGCTTCATTCAGATACAGATACCAGAATCCTTGCTTAATGCCCTTAATTTCAAGAACCAGAGAGCAAATGAGAAAAGCAATGGATGGGTTAGGCAGTATTGCTTAATTAATAGTACCATGAGGTGTACTAGCTGTCATATAAAAATTGTCTTTTAAAAATTGTTTTCATTAATTAATGCCTGTAAATAATGTTAATATACATGTTGCCTTCATTTTTATGTTATTACTGCTCTCATGCATTCAGCACTGTGTATATGCCTGTTAGGGGCTGGGGATTCAACGCTGGATATGACACTTTCTCTGCATTCTGGGATTAGCTCCAGATGGTTTTATAAGGTGGATCAGAAAATTTAGGCTTATATAAAAGTCACACAGGTCATAAATGGCAGCCAGAATTTAAGTCTGTTGCTATATTAATTTCAGAGTCAGTTTGAGGAATAAAAAGAATTATTTCAGGAGGACAAGAGGAACTGTGAGACATTCTTAAAAATTTATTATAAAAAGGTTATTTTGCCTATTAATGATGGTGATATTTCTCTGAAGGAGAATTGCAATTTTGATTCTGAGTTTTAGAGACAGATCTTGCCCTGAATTTTAGACAGTTCTTGCTCTGTCTCAGGGTGGAGTGCAGTGGTATGATCATAGCTCACTGCAGCCTGGAATTCCTGGCCTTAAGCAAACCCCCCTCCAATTCCCACTTTGGCTTTCTGAGTAGCTAGTACCACAGGTACATGCCACTATGCCCAGGCTAATTTTCATTTTTTTTTTAATGTAAAGAAAACGCCTTTCCATGCTGCCCAGGCTGTTATCCAATTCCTGAGCTCAAGCTCTTCCTGCCTTGGCCTCTCAAAGTGCTGGGTGATTCTGAATTTGGATTTTGAATCAGAGTCTTTTCAACTGAATTTCTTCTGTGGCAAAACCAAAACAAACAAAGAGCAACTTTTATTTTCCAAGGTATTTTGACAGTGTTCCAGAAATCACCACTCTCGTGTGTGTGTGTGTGTGTGTATTTAATTAATTAAAAATTTACTCTCTCATTTTTTTTTTCTTCTTGAGACAGAGTCTTGTCCTATTGCCCACCTGGAGTGAAATCTTGGCTCAGCACAACCCCCGCCTCCCGGGTTCAATCGATTCTCCTGCCTCAGCCTTCCAAGTAGCTGGGATTATAGCCATGCGCCACTGTGCCCGGCTAATTTTTTGTATCTTTAGTAGAGATGGGGTTTCACTATGTTGGCCGGGCTGGTCTCAAACCCCTGACCTCATGATCCACCTACTGCAGCCTCCTAAAGTGCTGGAATTACAGGCATGAGCCCCTGCCCATGGCCAAAAATTTACTCCTACAATCTCAGTTTATAGTGTAGAATTGGGAAAGGAATATAGAAGGGGTGATGATATCTTAAGAAACATCGCTGTATATGACTCAGAAGTCATTCCAAGCAGAAATTTTTATGAAGGAAAAACATTCTGAATAAGATTGCGTTTGATACAAACAGAATATTGCTTTTGATACAGACAGAATTGCCAATATTACTCTAAGTAGACTTTAGTCAACTAATATATTTTCTCTTTAACTGAATATTAGAGATAAATAAATATCAATGAGAATATTTGCTTTACTCAGATCCAATGACCTCTTTAGTGTATTTTACAGTTCTTTTACTTCCTTTTCTCCTCTATAGGCTTAAAAGATTAGTTGCTTTCTGCCTCCCCCTGCCAAATCATTTGACATTTTTGCTTGGGAATTAAAAAATCTAAATAAATCCTACTTTTTTTTTTTTTTTTTTTTTNCTTTGTTGCCCAGGCTGGAGTGCAATGGCACTATCTCCATTCACTGCAACCTCCACCTCCTGGGTT